TTTTCATATATTTTATATATTATATATATATATATATATATATATATTTATATGGAAATATATAAAAATGCATGTGGGTACTAAAGCTTTTGATGAGTGTAACATCGGGGTGAGCTTATATCTTGAAAAATGTCAATAATAAAGCAATGACGTTGTATTTTGTCCGTTAATGATATATTTAACGATATAAGCTCATACTGGAGTTACACTCGTCAAGACCTTTCATTTGAGTACCCACATCAATTTTTTATATATTTTATATATTTATATATATATTATATATATGTATATATGAGAAATATATCAAAAATGCAAGTAGGTACTCAAATAAAAGCTCTTGATGAGTGTAACATCGGGGCGAGCTTATGTCTTGAAAAATATCAATATCAATGAAATGTAGACAATATTTTGTCTATTGATGATATTTTTAACAATATATTTAGTTAAAAAAAAATTACCACACTGGATGTTAAAATTAAAGGTAATTGTCAAATCAATTAAAAAAATAAATTCAAATCAAACTTTTGGATTCATACATATTTATTTTTATGTACAGTAAATGAATACAGCCATAATTAATATTTATTTTTACAAAGCCCGTGAAAAAATACAGCAGAACAATATTTGTATACAATATTGTTAGAAAATGTGAGTAATTATGTATTTTTTATATCTGACTTTATTTCTTTATTCATTCATTTATATTTAATTTAAGTATGTATAACATTGAAGTGTCTGGACGAAATACTTTTGACAACAAGCGATTTTCACATATAAGTACATTTTTTCGAGCACATAAAAGGTATTACGCTCTACAACTATTTACATTTTTTTTTTTTATTCAACAGTAAAAATATAACTTACGTAACTTGTACGTCAACTATAATTATTGGAAATACAATAAGTTTTATCGTAGAAAAAAAAATGTAATTTAAAGTACAAACTTTTATAGTCTTTCAATAGATTAGAATACATTGATAGTCTCGGGTTCTTTTTTTAACATAAAACTTAGAGTATTTTTTATCACTTAATATTAATGAGAAAAAAAAAAAAAAAAAAAAAAAAAAAAAAAAAAAAAAAAAAAAAAGTCAATTGATGTCGGTGACATAAAATAAAGATAAAATTGGATAAGCATTAAAGGCAAGATAGTTTATGTCACACATAATGATCGGCAGTGCATTGGTACCTCGCATTGGCACATATCACAATGAATAACATTATTTGTTTCGATTAAAATAATTAACAAAGTCGTATTTTGACGACTTACTATGAAGGATTGATTTTAAAATTCTATCTAACTATTTTGTTCCCGTCTGATGAGATCGTGCTGGAGGATCGTCAAGAGACACTTTTATGCACGTGCCGAAACTAGGAAGACGACGGATCTTTTGCCTCAGGACACGATCATGTTGGAAGAAATAATGATTTTAAAAATATTAAATAATAATCACAGGTAACACTTAATATTTTTTTATGTTATTATTTTACTTGATCATTTTTCACTACTGACAATAGTGAAATTATTATATATTTAATTAAGCTGATGGTACTTTACTTTTCATTCTTTTTTTGGTAATTATTTACAAGAAGGGTCCACCTTTTTTATTTTCATTTTTTGAACGAAATTTCTATTTGATTTTATTGATATATTTTTTTTTTTAAATACGTAAAAAAATAAACATTTAAAAAAAAAGTGAAATATCAAAATTCAAACAAATTTTTTAGAAAATTGTGATAATTACCTTTTTTTTTTAATTGTTCGTTTTTTCATGTACTTTTCAAAAAAAATATATCAAAAAATGATAAAATAGAAATTTTTTCCAACTTTAGAAGGCAAAAAAGCTATCTCATCTTTATTTTTTTTTTTTTTTCACGACAATTTTTATCAGAAATACACCATAAAAACAAGTAGAATAAAAAAAAAATTAAAAAATGTTTTCATCTTTTTTTTTTAACAGAAATTTTTTTAAATATTGGCCTTTTTTCAGCACCACTAACTTATAGATTTACTTTTTCTTTCTAATCACAATTCATTTCTTTGAGTCTCAACTTATTTTCTACATTTAATTTTTTTTATTCATTTTTTTGTTTTAAAATTTTTTTTCTCAAGTAAACTTTTAATTTACTGTAATTTTTTAAAACTCCAATTAAGTTCAACAATTAAAAAAAAAAATACAAGTCAATGAGTACCACAAAATTCATAAACACAACCACCAAAAACACCAAATTAAAAATTATTTTTTTAATTAATTTAAATTAAGTCAAAAATTGTTATTTTTTCACCTATTTTTCCACTAGATACGCCCAAAAATAGGTTTGACCCCACTTGTAAATAACTACCTTATTTTTTTTCGACAAAAATAATAAAATCTAAGAAATCATATGTAATGAGTATATATTGCTTATCAATGAGCAAAAAACGATGAATGAAATAAATATTCATTAACAGGAATTCACTTCACGAAAGACTAGTAATTATACTATTCGTTATAGGACTTTCTTCCGTTTCATTTCCTTATCCTCATGGCTTATAAAATTATTATTATTATAATTAATATTATTATTATTATGATACGTAACCTTATGTATATTTATAAATAGATCCTTGCTATATTATTTATTATACACCTTCAATAAAATTTTTCTTCACCCACAGTTGGATGATCGGTGACAAGTGTCACGCATCAGAAAATAAAAATTCACTTTCTGACAATAATACCTCAAGGTCAGAGGGAACAGTGTGAAGATCTGAGTTGGCAGCGTGGGAAGACTCGGTTGGTCGACCAGTGGCATTAACTCCCTTAGACGTTGATGTTTGTTGGCCTTTCCTGAGTTTATCTTTTTTATTAGACGTTCGAACGAGCACAGCTGTTCTGGGATGAGAACTTTTTGTATTTTTGCGACTACTGGATATTCGTTGAACTTTATCGGTTTTTTTAAATTTGACACTGAATTTAAATGGAGGTTTATAAACAATTTGCAGTCGGACACGTTCACTCGTTGGATCTTTAGCTCTTCCAGAATCGCTGACCCGTTGATTTTTTACATCTGCTGTCCTTTTAGAATTTAAAGGTCGTGTTCTTGAAGTAGCAGCAGCAGCAGCAGCAGTGGTCCGTACCATTGGCGTTACTGCCGGAGAACCAGCAAGGCCTACTGGTGTTGATTTGCTCTTTGTTAAAGCTGCAATATTGGCTTGCTCTATTCGACCATGTGATGCAAGAAGCCAGGATCTGACTTTACTTTTGGGGTCTGAATTATCACTGGAAGTAACTTCATTATCCTCGTCAGCTTGTGCCATTGAATAATCAATTACTTCTTTCTTTTTACGTTTCTTCTTCAATCCAACATCCTTGGAAGACACTTTGGTTGGAGTCTCTTCTGGTATGGGAGCTACTTGCTGATCAGCAATGGAAGGTAGTGCTGTTGATACTTCAATACACTTACGGTTAGGTTCTTCAACAACAATTGGCACAACACGTTTCTTCTTTTTCTTCTTTTTTTTAGCCAACTCCGGTGGCTGTTTGCTTCTTCTTCTCATCATGGTTGTGATCTGTTAATTAAAGAAATTAAATTTTTCTGTAAATCTAAGAGGTAACTTTGGTATTATTTATTTAATTTATCGAAATTTGTGTACCTTTGCTGTCTTGTTATTACTACTATTGTTTGTCGGATTGTTGGTCAACAAATCCTTCTGTTTGCTTTGACGTCGTTTCTCTCTCACTTTCTGATTTAATGGAAGTTTCGCCCTGACAGCCGGTGGGTGGACTGTCACCCCCTCCGCACCCTCCGGTGGTAATCTCACTGTTTCGGTTGTTGAACTGTGGATTATTGTGACCGACTTGAGTTTGGGGTTCGATCGTTTCCCGAGGAACCGTATCGTTGCTACCTGTATTTTTTAAAATAAAAATTAAACCATTTTAATTATTTCTCACTAATAATTATTCATTACTAAAAATTTGGTTATTATTTACAAGTGGGGTCTATACTATTTTAATTTTCATTTTTTTTTAACGAAATTTATTGTTGAAAATTTTGATATAATTTTTTTGGAAAATACATAAAAAAAATGAACAATTAAACAAAAAAAAAAATATATATATATATATATATATATATATATATATAAAACGTCAAAAAAAGATTTGTGACCGACTTGAGTTTGGGGTTCGATCGTTTCCCGAGGAACCGTATCGTTGCTACCTGTATTTTTTAAAATAAAAATTAAACCATTTTAATTATTTCTCACTAATAATTATTCATTACTAAAAATTTGGTTATTATTTACAAGTGGGGTCTATACTATTTTAATTTTCATTTTTTTTTAACGAAATTTATTGTTGAAAATTTTGATATAATTTTTTTGGAAAATACATAAAAAAAATGAACAATTAAACAAAAAAAAAAATATATATATATATATATATATATATATATATATCAAAAACGTCAAAAAAAGATAAAATAAAAATTTTATCCAAAATTTTTTCCAACTTTTGAAGGCAAAAAAAGCTATCAAAATATTAATTTTTTTATATTTTAGATATCACCACCATAAATCCGCTGTAAAAACAAGCAAAACAAAAAAAAATTTTTAAATATCAATTTTTCACCTAGATATGTCCAAAAATAGGTTTGACCCCACTTGTAAATAATTACCAAAAGTTTAAATTTAAATAAATTATTTTTTTTTTTTACGGCAGTAGTATTGGAAATAATACACATAAGTTAAAAGTCCCAATAGCTCATTTGTATATCTATATTTGTAAATACAGATATACAAATATATGGAGTGATCATGTACTGGTACATGAGCATCTATTGGGGCTTTTACCTTATATACTAAGGAATCAAAGCATCGAGCAGTTACTTTAATTCGATGAAAAATAAATAACTTACACTTTTCTTCAGTACTTTGATCCTTAGACTTTTTTTTGTAGTGTCTCTAATAGACACAATATTAACAAAAGCAAATATGAAGAAATAAATAATAAATTATAAACAAAAATTGTCATCCAATAAAATAAACTTTAAAATAATATAAAGTAAATTAATAAATTTTTTTTATACTTACGAGTAATGATATCGTTGCTAGAATAAGAAGAGCAACTGCATACCAGTGATCAATGACCCATCTTCTGAATGTAGCTAGACTTTCATCAGATAACAATAGTTTTCTTAACGTCGCCAACGGACCACTTGGATCAACTTCTCGACATTTTTGAAATACATCGCAATATCCATTGTAATCATTGCACGGCGTACCCGGCTTTGAAAACATGTCAGGAATGTCATATGGAGGTGAGTTCCAATCGAATGACGATCTAGGATAAATAAAATAAATTATAAGTCTGAACAAAATTTCATTCAATATAATTTTAAATGGAAAGTTTTTTTTTTTTATAAACTTACAAACAAGGTTGATTACCACCAGGAATACGACAACAAAGCTCACAGGCTTTAGTCGGTGAGTCGTTGGGTCCAGGAATGCATTGACAAGATTCTAGGCCATAAGCTAGGCAAATACTACCGGTACACTCCTAAAGAAAATTATAAAAAGTAATTATTTAAAAAATATTTGTTAATTTTTTAATTACTTAAGGGGAGTGGGGAAAATACGTGCAGAAGGATGTTTTCATGCTGATTTATTGTTAATTTTTTTAAAGCATAAAAATTAATATTATTTATTGAAACTTTTTTTATATGTGTATCTTCTATATGAGCCTCAATTCCAAAAAAAAAAAAAAAAAAAACACGTATTTCCCCCCTTAATATAATTGTTGGACTTACTCCCATAAAGCACACCAGTTCGCGGTTACAGATTGTTTTATTTGGTTTATTGATTGACGGAGGACAGTGTGGTGACCGACCATCGCAAAAACTCGCGTCTCGACAACCATTATCTTCACGACACTTGTCTGAGAACTTTAATTTACAGTCTGTTGTACAGCAAGGACCTTGACTAGGGCTGCAAATAGATCTAGGCGTTAATGTACAGGGCTTTTCTTCTGCCGGCGGGTAACGACGCTGAGGAAAACAACAAGAATCACGACAGTCTTCTTCCCATCCACAATCACACTCTTCTCCGTCTTCAACGACTCCATTCCCACAAAGTGACGCTTGAGGTTCTGCAATTAATTTTTAAATTAATGTTATATATAATAATAAAATCAATAACTAATACTAGCAACCTTGCAGTCACTATGTGACTGCCATGACTTGTGAACTATAAATTAATAAAATTTTGCTTTATTAAACACTGGCTATTGTTAAAATGCACTGTTATTTCTTAAATATTGACATTTTTAAATATATAAGCTCATCTCGATGTTACACTGATCAAGAGCTTTCGTTTGAGTACCCACATGCATTTTTCATATATTTTTCATATATACATATATATAT